AATAAAATTATATACAAAACGTAAAATAAAATAGAGGTACTGTGAGCAATGAGCTCACAAAATGATACCCCCCGCCTCCCATATGGTTATAAATGATGACAAAGTCCATGTTTTGCCATGGCCGGGAAACTCAAAATATGTGTCAGATCAAAAAGGAAAATAGGAGGTGCACAATGGCAATATGTAATAAAGATTCTGTGAAAGTTTCATTAAATTTCACTCAGTGGTATAAGAGGAGTTGCGGATAAGAGATGAGTACCGTAAAGCGTAACAGACGGACGGACGGACGGACGTACAGACGGACGGACGGACGGACAGACGGAATTAACGATTACTATATACCCTACCGCTTTTCAAGCGGGGGGTATAACTACCGCTTTTCAAGCGGGGGGTATAAAAAAAAGGTTTCGGATAACTATATATGGGCTTTTAACTAATAAAATGAAATTGAAAACTTGATTTAAAAACACACACACGTTTATATCTCTTCGTTAGATTTATTTATTATACAAACATACTTTTCCAGTCGTATCTCAGCATGTCCGACTTTAGAAAACAAAGAAAACTAGAGGTACTGTGAGCGATGAGCTCATAAATGATACCCCTTGCCTCCCATATGGTTGTAACTGATGAAAAAGTCCATGTTTTCCTGTACCCGGGAAACCCAAAATATGTGTCGGATCAAAAAGTAAAATAGGAGGTGCACAATGGCAATATGTTATAAACATTCTGTGAAAGTTTCATCAAATTTCATTCAGTGGTATGAGAGGAGTTGCGGATAAGAGATGGGTACCCCAAAGCGTAACAGACGGACGGACGGACGTACAGACGGACGGACGGAATTAACGATTACTATATACCCTCCCGCTTTTCAAGCGGGGGTATAACAATGTATTCATCACCTGTTTATTCGTAGTGCTTACTGTCACTCTTATCACACTGTCAGCACCGTAATGGCGGCCGACGACAACGGTGACAAATCGCGATACCTCTGAAAAACTTGTGAAAAAGAATCGTGTATAGTGATGTGGTTGATGTTGTGTATGAATATGACTTGAAATAAAGACATTCAGAGAAAATATACTGTACATCTAGGAAGGATTCTAATATTAAGTCCATATCACATGGAACTTGACCTATTACTATCTGTTGAAATAATTTTTGACTATGTTATATATATATATATGTGAATTTAATCCAGAAGAAAACAATTACAATAAAGTTTGATGAGTATCAGATTTCTTATATTTGTTATATATACAGTCTATCCTTGTCATCTGGCACCAATAAATCCATCAAAAACATAAAAAAGTATTTCATTAACTTAATTATTTTGGTTAATAAAAAATTCCTTAGATGAAATACAAATATATCTAGCTAAATTAAAAGGATGTAGATATCAATTAATTCTTGAGGCATGTCACTGTAAATGCATCAAAAATACAATAGAATCGGAACTACAGTGTGCAGTTTGTGATACTCAGGGTCAACTTGGAAACATGTACACAACAACATTTTGTCCTTTGTCATGCTTGCAAATATACATGGTATTCGTAATGAGATATAGAAAGTGTCTTCCAATGTTACATCTTAATTAAGCAGTCATTTCAACCTTGCGTAGGATATTGATAGGATTAATTATTATCAAATAATAATCTTCTATTCATATTTTCCTTTATAACTTTATGTTTATTTTTGAAATATTTTCACATATTTTCACGTACACACACACCCTCCCTCACACACATGCATATGTGAAAGTGAACCTGAATCAAACATTAAGTTCTTGGTTCTTTGGACAAAAATCTATCACAACACATTTGTTTACATGTATTTGATTTTCTTCACTTTACCATTGTTTAACTCAGCTACAAGGAGGTTGTCTCTGGTGTCTACACATAAACCCCATGGGTTGTGTAGATAACAGTTATCAATGTAACGGAGGAGCAGTCCATCCTGATCGAGGATGTGGATACGGTGTTTGTTAATGTCTGATGTCAGGATCCGACTCGGGCTGTCTGTTGTGATGCCGACTGGATTAAAAGATCCCTTGGTAGTAGAGGGACGACCAGTGTATCTAAATCGGAATTTTCCTGCCTCATTAACAACCACTACTGCACAGGCTCCATACTCAGCCACACAGATATCATGGTTCCTGTTCTCACTTATGTATTTAAGGTCACCAGATGAATACAGGGGTTTACTTTCACTATCAAACTGAATGGCTTGTTTTTCTGTGGAACCAGAGTAACGGACAACTTTCGATTGTTTATCATCACTGACCATGGTAATCAGGAGGTCACCAGAGGAGGCACTACTGACCTTGTAAGGTATCCACCCCTGTAGTCTGACCACTTCCTGTATCTGGTCATTCTTCTCTATGTTTACAGTTCTTGTATCAGGATCAGTATAAAAAACATCTCCACTCTCTGTCACTGTTATATCACCTTGTATGTTTCCTGACTCGGTTTGGATTGACTTCAGTAATTTGCCCTGGAGGTTGTAGAGTTTATGTTTTTGTAATTAACATGTGTCCAGATTTCTTCATCACTGAGACAGGTAATACTGTATAATAGATTATACCCAGTGTCTATGGTGGTGATGAGCTCGGGTTCATCAAGCAGTAGTTTGACTGGAGGACAGGATACAGCTTCTGGTGTCTTCATTGTGTAGCCATGTTCTTCTGTTGAAATGGATAATGCAGACAGTGAACCAAACATTTGATGGAGCTGTTCTGTGTTGGTCTGATGAAGAGAAAATCTTGGTATTGAAACAATGATTTTAGGAGGTAACCTTCTGAATTCAGCATTCCTGGGTTTGTATGCAGAGGTTAGGGAGGAATCATTGGAGTCCAGTATTTTCTTCAGATCAAAAATACTCTGTTTTACATCAGAGGTAATCTGCTTGATTTCATTTCTCTGTTTATTTAGAGCAGCCAGGTGTTTTTCTTGCATCTCATTAATTTCAGATTTCTGTTTGTTGACAATGATGTTAATTTCTCTGTGCCAGTCTTCTCCTTGTTTGGTGACAGCTGTTGTCAGTTTCTCATAAAGCTTTTGCAAGTTGAATTTTTCAGATTTAAATTCTAATGTAATTTCTTCATATGTTGGAAGTATTCTTTTTTCCAGTTCTTTCAAGTCCTTGTTTATAATGTCTTTAATGAAGCTTGGGTAGTTAACATTAGGAGTAGAAGTTCTGTGTTTGTATGGTACAACTTTGTGTCTTAAAGATGAATCAGAGAGATGTTCCCCTACACAGGCCTTACACAGGTTAATCTTACAAAGTTCACAATGACTCTGTAATGCAGCTTTTTGACACAGGTCACAGAGGAGGAGAACTTGAGCTCTGTCCAGGGGGTCCATCACTTGGGCTTAAGTAAAAATGATTCTTAGTAACGACTGAAATTGTATCACTGACATATATATATTTTTAACCTTAGGAAAATCTCTGTATGTTAAAATATGACAAATCAGTTTAGAATTGACAGAGATGCTGCGTTAATTAATTGCGTGTCCATAGGATTTTTTTAATATAAAAGGAAATCGACTTTACGCCTCGTATTGATATAATCAGTATGACTGCTCCTCGTCTTGCAACAATTAATGTATTCTTCTTCATTTTTGATCCTCCAAATATGAATAATGCTTTGTTAATGTGTTAAAACTAAATTATTATCTTGTCTCACCTTAAAATCAAACACGGCCCGCCCTGATAATCCTACATATTCTACAAATTTCTTCCCATTATTTATCTTAGTGATTTATCTGTTACCTCATCAGGTGATTTTAATACCCGACATATCTTTATCTGTCAATGTAGAGATAAAGTTATAATTAGATTAAATATACTACAATGCAGGGACTTGTGTAGACATTAGGGTCCTGGTAGCATCCTTCACACGTATGAGATAAATATATGAATATACTTACCGTTAAAGGTTCCTGTTACTACCTATACATAGCCTTAATTTTCTTTACCTACAGAGATACTTTATCAATAGCACTTCCGATGTTGACACAATTCCTCATTTCAATATTGGTTTAATTTTTTTTTATCTTTTCTTTGGGAAAATCCTTGTTGTTTTAAAATGAATAATAAAAAGCAACCAGAAGTCTCTGACGAGACTGTAGCTCTACTGGTCTGTACGTATAACAAAAGAAAAGTAGCATGTACTATCATTTGCAACTTCGCAACAGGCATCAAAAAATAAAATGATTTATGCTTCTCAATGTAGTGATCCTGTTTGCCAAATTATATTGTAATCAGAGGAAAATTTAATAGGAGAAGCATACTGAAGGATATTTTTTTTTTAAATTCTATCTTTATTAACCATTGCAACATCGTTCATTAAAATAAAAAAAGCGTGCGCAAAATCATATATCTTAGCGCAGTCTAATAGTTCGTATCAAACGAGTTTTATTGTTGAAATTATTTAGTATAATATACCGTAAAACAAATTTATTCGCATGCTAAAAATTTTCGTGTTGTTTGAGAAAGCCTTTATTGTCAACGCAACTTTTTTCTCCCTTTAATATTCATTTAAGCGTTTTTGTCTATTAACATCAGATCCAAAAGAGGCTGGATCACGAAAATCAATTGTCACAAACTGGTTAACTCTCGGTAAATCGCGAAATAAAGTCATCGCAAATAAAAGTTGGTTTACAATTATGATAAATACAGCATGAACGTCAACCATCTATAGTCAACGGAGGCGGGATTTTAAATATTACCTTCAACTAAATGCAGTATAAAATATTAAAGTACTAAATAAACATAGGTAATCAGAGATTACAGAGCTCACCTCAACGAATGTTGTCTTTAAGTAAGCCAAAGTCACCTAATCACACAGCAAAGAGTGTACATCCAAAAAAATTGATTTGATACTTCGGTATAGACATATATAAGAACTTCAAACTAGTTCATCAATCTTCATCACTCAACATGCATTCTCTGTAAGCACCAAAAAATTTACTATACGGCTTGGAATACGGCATCTCTGATTTTGATGAAATTTGCACCACAGGTGAACCTTGGTACAAAACCAGCAAATATGGTGTTTGAAGTTTCCCACGCGCACCCGGTTGCCATGGAGACGGATTCATTGAATTTGGCCATTTTCGGCCAAACAAAACCATAAAAATTGAAGAAGTATAAATGCATTTTTATCTTTATTTAGTAAACTCAATTTAAATATTTGTATCATAAAAAAACATCAACTGTTAATAAATACAGCGCATATAATAAGTTATTCCAGAATTAACCCCACTCTTAGAAAATGTTCCTGCAATATGGCATTATATTTTTGGGAAATGTGAAAAATGGAAAATATGGCATTTTTTGAGACATTTAAGGTTAAATAAAAAATTGTCTACGGAAAGTTTTCTTATGTGTGTCGTCAAACGTCAGTAATAGTAGTGTCCCCTCAAGAAAAAACCGGAGTGGGGTCTCAATGCTATTTCTAGTAACATGTATCTAAAAATAACCATATTTCAGAAAAATCCAAAAATGAAATTTGGGCAAAGTTTACGATGCCATTGCTAGCTAATTATGAAATATATTGTAAAAGTTTTCTTGCTAATGGCAGAGGCTAGACACCAATAACTACCATTCATATTAATTTCAGGGATTTCCGTTTTCTATTTATAGCTTCAAATGCCCTAAAGTAGACATGTCTCATAAAATGCTGAAAAATATCAATTTTCCATCATTTTGAAGCTCTACTGAATCATAAATAATAACCATATGGATCTCTCCACTACTTCATCAATAAGAACAAGGAATAATCAAATAACTCAAAATTTGTTGAGGACAGGCTCTCATATCTATAAATAGTGCAAATGTCTAAAAACAGACACATATAAAATTAACTGTTTAATGTTGATTTTCCGCTAATTCTCAAACTAGAGATGGACAATTTACCGACTTACTGTCATTAACTGTAACCTTGGTAATTGACAAAACGTGACTGACAAGAACAAAAGAACATGCAATGGAATGCAGCATGATAAGCAGAGCGTCCCATTTCTATGTATAAAACACATGTTAAAAAGTAGACGTACTGCAAAATATCGGGAAAATGTAGTTTTTAGTGATTTTCTCACATTTTGGATGAACAAGTGCAGACTATCTGATGTTAACTGCGATTGGCATATGGTGACCAACAAGTAAAAGCATCATATGAAATTGTATGCATGTTAAATGTAATGAAAATTCAGCATCTGAAGTAAGTATGACAGTTTTTCATCCCTTGATACATCATTTGTTCAAGTTGTTTGGTTTATAAAAGCCTCATGGTTTCTTGCTAATAGACCTGCATGCATAACTTTTACCAGATCCATTATCTGCAACATGTATGTCGTATTCAGCTATAGAAGTTAGTGTCCATCCTAAGATGTCCATGCAGTTTTGTGCAACATAGGGCTCATTAGTTACTTAGAAATGAAACCTGCATTAAAATGTAACCTCTTCACTCATCCAGAAAATTAAGGTCAGATACAGCATCCAAACCAGTCTTTAGTATGTCTCCTTAGATGCATCATCCATCATCCATGCAAGTTTGGTCATTAAAGAGGTCAAATATAGTTATCTGGAAATGAATCCTGCACAAAAAAGCTAATTCAGAGAATTTGGAAATGAATCCTGCACAAAAAAGCTAATTCAGAGAATTTGTGTCCCCTGCTTATATTAGGGAAAAAGTAAACCATGCGCAGTTCGGGGTGGGGGGGTTCGGATCCCCTTGATTGAAAATGTAGAATTATTAAATGTATACTGAAGCAAATAAAATATGCCAATATGGATATAAATGGTTGATTGATTATTCTTTATTATGTGTGTAGAAGATTTTTTTATATGGAATATTTATCACACTGTAATGAGGATTTTATGAATTTGTACAAGCCAGACCTCATGAATTTTTCATTTCACATGCTGAATACTATCATTTAGTAAAAAAAAAAGTATTTCGAAAAAAAATTGTTTTATCGGGATGCGAACCCTGGCCCTCTCAAATGTGGAGCCAGTGACATACCACTAGACCACGACGCCGCTTTAACATGGCGAGAATTATATACCAAAATTAAGTCATGTTCACGTTCGATATATTTTCAAAATTTTACACAATGCATGGTATCTTATTTAACCTTTTTTAAACAGTTTTAATAAATGTAATAAGTATATAAAGTCCGTCGAGAACTTGTTTTATACGTAATAACTCCCCTTCATGCCCCTGTGCTAAAAATAGCGATATTTAATACAATAAATACTAAAAACCAAACGGGGTGGGACATTTTAAGAGGGGTAAGAGAGGTCCTTGAGACTTTTGGTATAAATTAAATTGCAAAAGCTCAAAATCCTCTTGAAATATCGCCCGAAAACGATTGTTACACACAAACAGAATGTATACATTTATGACCTTGAAGTTTGACCTTTTGACCGCAAAATCAATAGGGGTCTTCCATAAGCCACAGGGAGTTGTTCTGTAAAAATTTCATTGCAAAAGCTCAAAGAGTTCTCGAGATATCGCGCGGAAACGAGAGTGTTATAACTGAGAGAATTTGCGAATTTATGACCTTTGACCTTGACGTTTTGACCTCAAAATCAATAGGGGTCTTCTTTACTCCATGGGAAGTTGCTATGCAAAATTCCATTGCAAAAGCTCAAAGAGTTCTCGAGATATCGTGTGGAAACGAAAGCGTTACAGACAGACAGAAAGACGGACGGACGGACAGACCCAAATTAATATCCCCCACTTTTCAAGCGGGAGATAAAAACTTTAACCTGTTCACTCATCCAAAAATATATAACATGCATCCTAAGATATATTATCCATACAGGTTTGGTCATTTTAGGGCTCATCAATCTAAACATTACTATAATTGTCATGTACGTTGTAACTTGGAAATGAAACCTTCACCAAAAAAAGGTAAACCTGTTCACTCATCCGGAAAATGTAGGTCAGATTCAGCATCCAAAGCAAGTTGTAGTATGCAGCCTAAGATTCATATCCTTTTGTATTTTTAGCTCACCTGAGCTTGTCTGATCAAAATTCGTCCGTTGTCTGACGTCGTTGTCATCGGCGTCGACGTAAACTTTTAACATTTTTGTCTTCTTCTCAAGAACCACTGGGCCAATTTCGACCAAACTTGGAACAAAGCAGACTTAGGTGAAGGGGATGGGGAATTAAATTTAAATGAAGGGCCACAATAGTAATGAAATAGTGAAAAATTAATGGCATTTAAAAAAAAATCTTCTTTTCAAGAAACACTGGGACTGAAAAGATGGAACTCATTTGCAAGCATCCTCAGCTAGTGTAGATTCAAATTTGTTCAAATCATGACCCGTGAGGTTAGGGTGGGGCCACAATGGCAAATCAAAATTTTACGAAGGCCTAGGAATATATAGGAAAAATCTTTAAAAATCTTCTCAAGAAGCACTGGGCCAGAAAGATGAAACTCATGTGAATTCATCCTGAGGTAGTTTAGATTCAAGTTTGCTCAAATCATGACCCCCGGGGTAAGGGTGGGGCAAAAATGGCTGATCAAAGTTTTACATGTGTACATAGGATTATATAGGAAAAATATTTAAATATCTTCTTCTCAAGAGCCACTGGGCCAGGGAAGAAGAAACTCATGTGGAATCATCCTCATGTAGTATAGATTCAAGTTTATAAAATAATGACCCCCGGGGGTAGGTTGAGCCAAAATGGGCGATCAAAATTTTACATGGGAATATATAGGAAATTTTTTAAATATCTTCTCAAGAATCACTGGACCAGGAAAGTTGAAACTCATGTGGAATCATCCTCAGGTAGTGTAGATTCAAGTTTGCTCAAATCATGAGCCTCCGGTGGTAGAGTGGGGCAAAAATGGCTTATAAAAGATTAACATAGGAATATAGAAGAAATATTAGAAAAATCTTCTTCTTAAAAACCACTGGGCCAGGAAAGATGGAACTCATGTGAAATTATCCTTAGATAGTGTTAATTCATTTTTTTTTTTCAAAATATGACCCCCGGGGGTAGGGGGGGGGGAGGGCAAAATGGCCGAAGTTTTACATAGGAATATATAGGGAAATCATTAAAAATCTTTTTAATGACTTCAAAGCCATGATTAGTTATATTTATATGGAATCATCTTCAGCTAATGTTTATTCTAGTTCGTTCAAATGATGATCCCCTGGGTGGTTAAAATTCACCCCCCCCTCCCCAGATATGTCCTTTTTACTAGCCGATGTGCTAATTAAGGTGAGCGCTATGTCCCCTGGATCTCTTTTTTTTGTTAAAATTTTTAGTGCTAACCTCTCCGTTTTCTCAAAACAACACCCCCAAAAACTACAGAGTCTGGCTGATCTTAGTACAAACGACCTCAAACAGGTAAAGACACAAACAACATCTCCGTAAACTACAGAGTCAGTCTGACCTTAGTACAGACGATCTCAAACAGGTAAAGACACAAACAACACCTCCGTAAACTACAGAGTCTGACTGACTTTGGTACAGACGACCTCAAACAGGTAAAGACACAAACAACACCTCCGTAAACTACAGAGTCTGACTGATCTTAGTACAGACGACCTCAAACAGGTAAAGACACAAACAACACCTCCGTAAACTACAGAGTCTGACTGACCTTGGTACAGACGACCTCAAACAGGTAAAGACACAAACAACATCTCCGTAAACTACAGAGTCAGTCTGACCTTAGTACAGACGATCTCAAACAGGTAAAGACACAAACAACACCTCCGTAAACTACAGAGTCTGACTGACCTTGGTACAGACGACCTCAAACAGGTAAAGACACAAACAACACCTCCGTAAACTACAGAGTCTGGCTGATCTTTAAGTACAGACGACCTGAAACAGGTACAGAGAAAATAATAAAATCGAAGCATAACGTACTACAAAAGATATGAAATTGGAGAAGGTTGTAATTTTAAGTCATTTAGATTATATGTCTTTTATGTATATTTATTTTTATATCATGATGTTCTAATCTGTTTATTTAGTTTTCTGGAGTAGAAGAGAAGCTCACATCTCATCAGAGACCGAAACTCGCTAAAACTCCCCTCACCAAAATCGTGCACTACAAGGGAGAACAACTGCAATACTATCCTTGTATCCTTAATGAATGGACAGTGATATTATAAAATAGGCATAAAAGTTTTTTGTTTGAAGTTAAAGCAATTTTAAGGTCACCTGAGTGATCTCGTGTGACCTATTGCTATCCGTTTTCATCGTGCGTTGTGCGTTAACATTTGAAGATAGTGCTAGGGCGAGGCTAAAACGAGTATATAGTAAAAATGCATTATTTCTTTGAAAATCTTCTTCTCTGATCCTAGGTATTAAATAAACTAAACAAGTATATAGTTATGATGAGCAAGAGTGCATCTACCAAAATTGTGAATTTTATGGCCCCAGAGTCAGGGGTTCTGGTGTTAGGGCAGGGCTCTATTGATTCTATAGTGAAAATACTATAATCTTTAAAAATCTTCTTCTCTGCTCCTGGGTATTAAATAAACTAACTGAGTGCATAGTTTTGATGAGCAAGAATGTCTCTTCCAAACTTGTGAATTTTATTGCCCCAAGTTCAGGGTTCAGGTGTTAGGGCAGGGCTCTATTGATTATGTAGTGAAAATACATTAAATCTTTGAAATTTTTTTTCTCTGCCCTGGGTATTAAGCAGATGATCTACCTATATAGTTATGAGGAGGAGGAAATAACCCTCCTTTTTGTAAAAATCTTGAATGCTGCAAATTTGTAACCAAAGAAACCATTGGGACGTTGCATTAAATATTTATACTAGTTCTCCATACGTAGCAGCTAGGTTAGCTTTCCGTTCAAGATCGTAGCTTTACGTAGCGGCTACGTAGCAGCTACGCTGTTGAACGCACCCCAGATAAGTTAATCTTTTTAAAATGTTTACAGATTTGATCAAGATATCTCACGCATCATTTGGCGAATCTGATGCAGATCCTTTACCAGACATAGACAGACAGCTTATGATGGGGGTGACCGTTGAAGATATAGACACTGAAGCAGACGGCAAACTCTGCCATACATGACTCATTCCTTAAAAAAATACAAAAGATTGACCAGGTAGTGAAATGATAGCTAATGATTCCAAATATAGGCAGACGCCATGAGAAAAAAAATGTACAAAAATGAAAGAAAAAAAATTAGTTCATACGTCTCCCACAGTCAACATTTTAAAAAAATGGTTCATAACCCCCCTTTCCAGCACAACCACCACCGTAGTTCTACGTACACCTTCTACCCACAGCCAAGTGTTGCGGCCAAACCTTTCCCCTGGCCCATCTTAAGATATAGTTCAAATACATGTTACCCCTTCCCAATCTCCACCTTAAAAGTGGTTCATCTCTCCTTCCATGGTTCACATTTAACTTTCTCCCACAGCCATAATTGAAAAAGTGTTTCGTCCATCCTTTTCCTCCAGCCTGCCTTAAAATTGGTTCAATGTTTTGCGAGATTAAATACCTAATGGAAATTTGCCTATCGTATGGAACATTTGAATTAGCATATTTTTCCATAATAGGGTACAACTTGATCCAGATTGCATTATATAACACTGAATACTAGTACTTTAAAATGAGAAATACAAAGAACTTTAAAATGAGCTTTGCTTAATTCATCCCTAACTATAAAAAAAATGTCTTTGGATTTACATGTATATAAACCATTGTTTGTTTAGGAATACTTTAAATCCAAGACCCACTACAGCTTTGTGGAGGCCCTCATAAGGAGAGTAAGAAGACTATTGAGGCTCAACACGGGGAGCTGATGAGTTATATAAACTGACACAGGTGACTCCCTATAGTGAAATGGTTGATGTTGTCTATAGAATTTGATAGGGCTTTTTAATATTTAGTTCTACTGACAGTGGGTTGATTTAGTTGATATCCCATGGAATTTGACGCGTTAATATTTGTCGAAATCATTTTTGACCATGTATTAAAGATGTATGTGAATTAAAATTAAAACATTTACAATAAAAGGTTGAAACTGAATCAGTTTCCTCATCTTTGTTTTGGGTTACATATACAGGCAAACATTATTATCTTGCACCCTATGTGCCCCAAAAAATCCATGAAAAACATGGAAAAAAGTGGTTAATATTTATTTTGGTGATTTTAAAATTCTTAAATAAATTACATATAACTAGATTAAAAGGATGTACATTTAATTTAGATCTAATGGCATTTTATTCTAGCTGCATCAAAAGTGCAGTATAATCACAACCCTTCAGTGTGCAGTGCATGAAACAGGATCAACTTGAAAAATGTATATAATTCTTCTTTCTTCATGCTTGCAATTAAACATGGTATTCATTTTGTCATTTTGAACTTTTGAAGTTTTCTTCCAGTGTAACGTTATACATGTATTACTGAGAAGTCATTTCAATCTTGGGTAGAATTCTGAAACGATTATTATAAATAATTGATTTTTTATTTATATGTGATACCTTATTGATAGTACTGAAAATATTTTCACACACACGCACACATCAACACTAGAAAGTGAATTAAACTACCTCTTGTGATTTTGGCTACTGGAACAATTCTATCACAAACATGTCATTATTTAAAACACATTGATTACATGTATTTGATTTTCTTCAATTTACCACTGTCATAATCAGCCACAAAGAGGTTGTCTCTGGTGTCAACACATAAACCCCATGGTAGTAGGTTACAGTTATCAATGTAACGGAGGAACTGTCCGTCCTGATCTAGGATGTGGATACAGCGGTTGATACGGTCTGATGTCAGGATCTGACTCTGGCTGTCCGTTGTGATGCCATATGGATCAAATGATTCCTTGTTAGTAGATGGATGACCAGTGTATCTAAATCGGAGTTTTCCTGCCTGATTAATCACCACTACTGCACATGCTCCATTGTCAGCCACACAGATATCCAGGTTCCTGTTCTCACTGATGCATTTAAGTTCACCAAATGAATACAGAAGTTTACCTTCACTGTCAAACTGGGTGGTTTGTTTCTCTGTGGAGCCAGAGTAACGGACAACTTTTGATTGTTTATAATCATCACTGTCCATGGTAACCAATAGGTCACCAGAGGAGGTACTACAGACATGGTAAGGTCTCCATCCCTGTAGTGTGATCACTTCTTGTATCTGTTCATCCTTCACTATGTTTACAATTCTTGTAACAGGGTCAGTATAAACTAGATCTCCACTCCTTGTCACCGCTATGTCACGTGGTATGTTCCCCGACTTGGTTTGGATTGACTTCAGTAGTTTGCCCTGGAGGTTGTAGAGTTTCATGATTGCGTCTAATCCACATGTCCAGATTTCTTCATCACTGAGACACGTAACACTGTATAGTCTATACCTAGTGTCTATGGTGGTGATGAGCTCTGGTTCATCAAGTAGTGGTTTGACAAAAGGACAGGATACAGCTTCTGGTGTCTTCATTGTGTAGCCATGTTCATCTGTTGTAACGGATAATGCTGACAGAGAACCAAACATTTGATGGAGCAGTTCTGTGTTGATTTGATGAAGAAAGAAACTTGGTAATGAAACACTGACTTTAGGAGGTAATCTTCTGAATTCAGCATTCTTTGATTTATAGGTAGAGGCTAAGGAAACGTCATCGGAATCTAATATTTTCTTCAAATCAAAAATGCTCTGTTTAACATCAGAAGTAATCTGTTTGATTCCATTTTCCTGTTTATTCAGAGCAGCCAGGTGTCTAGTTTTCATCTCATCAATTTCAGATTTCTGTTTGTTGACAATGATGTTAATTTCTCTGTGCCAGTCTTCTCCTTGTTTGGTGACAGCTGTTGTCAGTTTATCATAATGTTTTTCCAAGTTACGTTTTTCAGAGTTTAAATCTAATGCAATTCCTTCATAGGTAGGACATATTCTTTGCACTAGTTCTTTCAAATCCTTGTTTAAAATTTCTTTCATGAAGCTGGGATTCTGTAGGATGTCTGTTAATTTATGTCCATGATGTTCATCAGAGGAGATGCAAGTAGAACAGACAGGAATGTCACATTTCTCACAATAAAGTTCACAATGTCTCTGGTCGTGATTTGAACATTTTGGGTAATTAACGCTAGGAGTAGAAGTTCTGTGTTTGTATGACACAACTTTGTGTCTTATGGATGAATCAGAGAGATGCTCCCCTACACAGACCTTACACAGGTTAATCTGACAACGTTCACAGTGACTCTGTAATGCAACTCGTTGACAAAGGTCACAGAGAACTTGAACTCTATCCAGGGGGTCCATCACAAGAATTTGGTCGAGAATTCAGATGACCCTGTATAAAGTAAATGGAGGTATAGGTCACTGAAATATAACGCAATTTTACATCTTTACAATGTAAGGGTTTAGTTTTGTCGGTTTAGAAGAACAGAAAGGATATGTTTGTAGTTTTATTGTTAACATTTTCTTTCTGTTTAAACAAATATATTACGAAGAAAATTAATGTCAACAATTTATAACAGTCAAAGCAATCTTGATATAATCAATTAGATCTAAAATGGCACTCTCATGCATCTCTGCTTATATAAATGTATTGCACTAAATTTGAGACCATAATTGACATCTAGAAAGATCTTGCAACATGTTAAATTTACTATACATAATCTAGTCTAACCTCTAAATCCAACATGTCCCCCGATAATCCCGTATAGTATATTTTACTTCCTTGTCTTCGTTCTAAATATTTACCTGGTTACCTGGTCATTGATTTTAATACCTGAGAAATCTATATTCGTCTTTGTACAGAAGTATGAAATAAAACAAGGTTACTGACTGTATATACCTTGCTTTTGGATATGGTTATTGAAAATGAGAATCATTCTACATGTATCCATCTCTCTAACTGTTGTCCATCAGTTTTTTTTTTTTTTTTTTTTGGGGGGGGGGGGGGGGGGTTTGTCTTAGGAAAAATATTTTAGCTCACCTGACCCGAAACTTAAGTGAGCTTTTCGAACAAATTTTATCCGCCTTCGTCCGTCTGTAAACTTTTCTCATTTTCAACTTCTTCTCAAGAACCACTGGCCGGGTCAGGCATCTTTTGTTGAAGGGAAGATGAAATTGCTAAGATAAAGGGACAAAAGGAGATAATCAAGAAAAGACACAAAGAGGGTGGGGTCATTAAAAAATCTTCTTCTCAAGAACAACTGGGCCAGAAATGCTGAAACATATGAGAAAGTATCAAAGGGTAATTTGTACCTTCTGAATTGTTCAAATCATGACCCCCCCCCCCCCTTGGGTAGGGAGAGGCCACACTAGGGAATGCAAGTCTGACATCGAAATATAAATTGAAAAATATTTTAAAATCTTTCCAAGAAAATATTTCACCCATATGGAGACACTACCACTTGCCGGTAGAGAGCTACAGTTTTGTTTAATACTCGGCACTCAGGTTTTATTTTAAATTGTTTAAGGTAGGACACAATAGAAACGCTAAATTTTTCCTCAAATTCATTTTTTCTGAATCTTTGATACATTGTTCGAGGATACAAATCTCTCTTTATATATGATATGAAAGAAATTCAACCACACATTTTTTTTTTTGCCCACATAGTCTGAAATATGGATCAGAACCCTGTAAGAAGATCAGACATTCGACCTGAGAATAAGCATTACTAGAGTATTTTAAGTTATCAATTCATCTATTGCAAATTTGTGTTATACTTTTAATAAAGGAAACTTTTTTTGTTACTTTAAATCAGCCGATCAAATTGATATTGGAAAATTTTAGCAAAATATTATAAAAGTATAAATAGAACATACATAGCTAGCATCGGAATTGAAAATTCACATGTAAATATCCGACAGTTTAAGTTTTCTTAAGAGAAAATGTATGATTAATGAGAAAATAATAAAAATGATTGTTTTTATATAGTACTTTTCTAGCATAAATGCTACTCAAAGCGCTTTACAATACATTCATTTTTTTATTTATTTATTTATTTTTTTTTACAAAAAATCAACATAATGATCCAAATGGATCCTAGAATAAAATGTGTAAAAATAAAGAAAATTGATCCAGTGATTTCAGATATTTTAGCGATAAAAAAAATTCAATGGTATAAAAACTAAAAGATTCAGTAGATGACGTTGACCTTTGAACTTTTAATATGACCTTGACCGTTGTGGTGCATAAAAAATGGATACTCCTTATATATGTGTCCAAATATCAGTCCTCTACTATTTATGGAAGAAATGTTACACTGCATTTTATAACATCTGTTACATGCTTGTTTATAGCACTTGGATAGCATAAACTCACCGCAAAATGTAAGCCTCCAAGTGATCAATATATAGGATTCTCTGATTTGTCACAAAATATGACGCAAACATGCAAAAAATATTATTTTTCTTACTGGGATCATTCATCGTTGTCAATATAGTAATATTATTCTTTATTTCTTCGGTATTTGTTAAGAAATTGGTTAAAATAGAATCCTCGGGTGTTTTGTCCTAACTTAAGTTTTGACCCATGGGGTAGCGGGTGGGACACAAGGGGGGAACAGAATACTGTAGATTCCTAAATATGCATGTTGAATTAATAATCGCGTAATTTCACGAGAAGCACAACATGCGCAATTAAATAACTCGTCTTTATGTTTAAAGGGCTAAAATCTATGTTATAACTATTGATCAACCGCCCATTTGCGAATTCTTATTCTCGCGATTTGCTGTTGAAGAGCCCATCTACAATAGCCAAATCTACTCAATAGAGTGATATGGCTCATGTGATGGGCCTCTTGTTCCTTTAAATTTTGTAGAAAACATACGTATAAGTTTATTATCATATGAAATAGTGTACCGGGTATTTTGAGATCACTTTCTCTAAGTTTTAAGGATAGGGGACTTTAAGCAAAAATTAACTCAAAATAAAGCAAAACAGATATTTTCTTTTAATTGCAATATAATTGTCAACATATTATCTATAACTTTATGCTGTTATTTAGCATTTAATTAAAGTAGATATGTTAATTTACGAAGTACAAATCTTTTTCAAAGACGGAATAAAAATTCTGTGAAAGTGCTATAAAATTTCATTCAGTGGTATGAGAAGAGCTGAGGATAAGAGATGGATACCCCAAAGCGTTACAGACGGACGGACGGACATCCTGATAAATCTATAACCCCCCCCCCCTTGCACTTCAAACGGGGGTATAATGCGCTCTGAGACCTGATCAAATTGCTCTAATCTTTTCATTCAGACAATTTAATTTAAGTAATTTAAACTGTGTTAACATGACAAATTTGATGCTAATTAGTTAAATTCGAATTCATTAACTGTGCATAAACTCAAACTGCATGTTTTGTGGCCTCTAAAGACAATTATTACATTACAAATAGTCCAGGAGATAACATCAATCTAAATACAAAGAGTCCAACAGATAACGACAATCTCAACACAAAGAGTCAAACAGATAACGACAATCTCAACATAAAGAGTCCATCAGATAACGACAATCTCAACACAAAGAGTCCAGCAGATAACGACAATCTCAAAACAAAGAGTCCAGCAGATAACAACAATCACATCACAAAGAGTCCAGCACATAACGACAATCTCATCACAAAGAGTCCAGCAGCTGTAACGACAATCTCAACACAAAGAGTCCAGCATGACGACAATCTCAACACAAAGAGTCCATCAGATAATTACAATCACAACACAAAGAGTCCAGCAGAAAACAACAATCTCAACACAAAGAGTCCAGCAGATAACAACAATCTCAAAACAAAGAGTCCAGCAGATAACAACAATCACATCACAAAGAGTCCAGCACATAACGACAATCTCATCACAAAGAGTCCAGCAGCTGTAACGACAATCTCAACACAAAGAGTCCAGCATGACGACAATCTCAACACAAAGAGTCCATCAGATAATTACAATCACAACACAAAGAGTCCAGCAGAAAACAACAATCTCAACACAAAGAGTCCAGCAGATAACAACAATCTCAACACAAAGAGTCCAGCAAATAATGACAATCTCAACACAAAGAGTCAAGCAGATAACGACAATCTCAACACAAAGAGTCAAGCAGATAACGACAATCTCAACACAAAGAGTCCAGCATGACGACAATCTCAACACAAAGAGTCCAGCAGATAACAACAATTTTAATACAAAGAGTCCAGCAGATAATGACAATCTCAAAACAAAGAGTCCAGCAGATAACGACAACATCAACACAAAGAGTCCAACAGATAACGAAAATCTCAACACAAAGTGTCCAGCAGATAACGACAATCTCAACACAAAGAGTCCAGCAGAAAACGACAATCTCAACACAAAGTGTCCAGCAGATAACGACAATCTAAACACAAAGAGTCCAGCAGAAAACAACAATCTCAACGTTTACACAAAGAGTCCAGCAGATAACAACGATCTCAATACAAAGAGTCCAGCAGATAACGACAATTTTAGCACAAAGAGTCCAGCAGGTAACGACAATCTCAATACAAAGAGTCTAACAAATAACGACAATCTCAACACAAAGAGTCCAGCAGATAACGACAATCTCAACACAAAGAGTTCAGCAGAAAACGATAATCTCAACACAAAGAATCCAGCAGAAAACGACAATCTCAAAACAAATCTCCGGTAATCTTAACGCAAAGTTCCCACCAGGTCCAGCTGGTAGTTTTGACTACAAACAACGACCTCAAAATTAATATTTTCCACATGACATGAATAGAATTTGGGATTTACAATTCTTAAATCTGTAGCTTAATATGTTGTATGAATTTACATGATTAAGTCAGCTACACTCTGTATTTTGAATTTAAGACCAAAATGGAATAAAAGGTTTTTGAGCTGAAAAAAAAACAACATGTGAAGTAGCAAATACTGAGAAAATTTACATGTAATTTGTTAACAACTAAGAGTATCTTACATAGGTTCGCCATCCCGCAAAGCAGCTACAATGAAATTCATTTTTGTACTACAGTGGAGTCGCCAATTCCGGGTCACGTCACGGTG